CAGGATCTGGACCATGCTATTAATAACAGTAACTGCACACTTTAATTCCTGACTGCTCACTGTGTCCTTTCACCTCACCCCACTGCCCCAGAGCCCTCTGATCCCAGAGCAGCTTCCCTCTCAGCCCCCTCTTTCCTTGTGCCACAGCCTCAGAGAACGTCCAGAAATTTCATTCTCCCCAGCTTCACATCCTTCCATGGTTTCCTGAAACCCTTGGAAAAACACATACATCCCTCCCTTCAGGCCCCCCTGTCCTGTGGTCCTGCCAGTCCAGCTACACAAGCCTCCCTGTGCCTCAAACACACCAAGCCTGCTCCTACCCCAGGGCCTGACGGGCTCGCTAGGTCCCTGCCTTGCTGGGTTAGTGTTCTCTGGTGCGCGGAAGGAGGGTGACAGGTCTTGATTCTGCAACCCAGCTATGTGGGCCGGAAGCGGATGCAGGTGGAGCACCCCGAGAAAGCCGTGCCCCGCGTGAGGAACCTGGTGGAGGCTGACTACTCCTACTGGACACTGGCCTACGTGATCTCCCTGCAAGGCGCCCGCAAGCTGCTGGCTGCCCGGCCGCTCTCCAAGATGCTGCCTGTTGACGAATTCCTGCCAGTCATGTTCGACAAGCACCCAGTGTGAGAGGGGGTTGTGGGGGGCAGGCTGGCTGGGGTCTCACGGTGTAGCTGTCCTGAAGGTGGGGGGTGGGGCTCGGGGACTCCCAGGAAGGTGCCTTTTCCTTTGCCCACTTCCTCTGTGTGTCCCCTCCACTTCTGGTTCCATCTGTACCTGCCCCCCGCTTCTGTCTCAGTCTGTCCGTTCCCACTTCTCCCTGCATCTATCCCTTCCCCTGACCCACTGCTGCCCCTCTCTCCCCTCTCCCTAGGTCCGAATACAAGGCTCACTTTTCTCCCCGCAACCTGCACGCCTTCTCCGTGGAGCCCCTGCTTGTGTACCCCACGCACTACACAGGAGATGATGGGTATGTGAGTGACACAGAGACCTCAGTCGTGTGGAACAATGAGCACGTCAAGACTGACTGGGACCGTGCCAAATCCCAGAAGATGCGGGAACAGCAGGCCCTGAGCCGTGAGGCCAAGAATTCGGATGTGCTCCAGTCCCCACTAGACAGTGCTGCCCGGGACGAACTCTGAGGGGCAGTGGCCAAAACACCAAAGCAGCTTTTGGTGCCCCATACTCTACATGCTCGCCAGGGACAGCAGCGTCCCCTGCAGACCCCAGCAGGCCATGGAGGGCTTTCCACACAGGGTGGTGTCCAGCCAGCTCTTGCTCAGCAATCAGGTGCATGCAGGCAGCATTAAGGGAGTGCCTACTGTCTGCCAGAAACAGGGTTTGGCACTGGGAGATGGGGTGGGAACAAGCCATCATTCATCTCTCTGTGTGCCTGACATTTTTTAAGCATTGACGGTGTACCAGCTTTGTGTGCGATGGCAGTGAATGAGGCATAATTATTCCCTCAGTCAGTGATTGGTTCAGTCAGGCATTTATTAATTCCTCCACCAAGAACCAGGCACTAGTCATACACATTCATTTTTTAAATTCAAGTATTTATTGAATGCCTACTGTATGTTGGGCACCATTTCAGGCTCTAGTAATATTGAGATAAACAAGATACTTTCATTTTCTCAAACATATCAAGCACCTACTGTGTGCCTGGTACACAAAAGTTCTTATTGACTCTGCATTTATTGAATGCCTATTGTGTGCTGGGAGCTGAGCTCGGTGCTGGGGATGGAGATAAACAAGGTGCTTTTCACCCTAACTGGTTTCTTCCCACACATCTGAAGAGTACCTACTGTGCGCCAGGCATTAGTGATACAAAACAGCATGACAGTTGTTCAGTCAGCATTTGATTACCTACATGTGTGCTGGGCTACAGAGATGAACAAAATGAGTCCTTTTATTTCTTCCTGCAGTAGGTATTTATTGAGTGCCTACTGTGTACCAGACCTCACGGACTTCCAGTAGGGTTAGAGAATGGCTGAGTCTGAGTCCTCCTCGTCCATCCCCCAGTCACTCGAGCTGAATGCAGACAACGTCCCCCATCACCCAGTAGGGAGGGTGGCTCTTCTCTCACCAGGGGCAGCTGCGGGTCCCAGTGGCCCCATGGCAGCATATAGGCTCCCTGGACCCAGCCCCCCTGGAGGGGGCGGGGACAAAGATGGGACTAGGTCTCCCCTGCTACCCCTGGTCCTGTTTGCTTGACCACCTTGGCCTGCTTCTCAGGTGTGATCTCTGCTCAGTGGGGTCCTCTATCCAAGCCTTTGGTGGGCTTCATGTGTTTGGGACCTTGGCGGGCTCAGCAGCACTGGGGTGCTGCCTGCAGTCCAGGCAGGATGTTCCACAGCTCAGAATGGAGGACTCGCTGTGCCTTCAGCCAAAAACGAATGTCAGAGCCGGCTAGTGGTGCTTCACTCTTAGGGATGGATAACTGCTCCCCGGGTCAGGTCCTGGATAACTTGCCTATTTTTTTATTAAATGTTCCTGGTTGATTTTCACATAAGTCTGTGTTCTTGACCCCATGCTCTGCTCACCGCCAACACACCACTCTCGGTTCCCATCCCTGCTGCTGGCCAAGGTGCGGGAGGAAACCAGGTGCTGGAGAGAAGCCGAGCAGGGAATGAGGGGCAGTGAGGGGCAGTGAGGGCCCGTCCCATAAAACATCCCTGAATTAGCCCAGGGACAGATGGCCAAGCTCGCCTATCCTGTGTGGTCAACTGCAGAATTGTTTCAGGTGACAGAATACGGAGAGGGGCGGTCATGGTTTGGAATTCCTAGTAAACAGATCCCAAGACAAGGATTTGGTTGGTGAAGAGGTCACCCCAGGAAGCGCTGATAGGGGTGGGGATATGAGACAAGAAGGGAAGGAGCCCTGCAAGAGGCACCAACAAACAGTTGACTCCCTGGGTACCTGGGGACCTCAGGGAGACAGCCTCAAGCAGACACCTCAGTGGTCCTACCCCAGGAGTCGGGGAGGTGGGGCATTGATCCACACCCAACCAGATTTGGATTTTCTGTGTCAAATACTTAAGGGCTCTCAAGACTCTTAAGCCGTTAGGGTGTGTAGTCATATACCCAAGGCTTTTACAAAACACTGATGGTATAGGATCCTTGTGGAAAAATTAGGACATACAGCTAAGCAAACTGAAAAAGCCAAATTAAGCTATACATCCTCAAAATCCTACACATTTTGGTGAACAATCTTAATAGTCTTACCCGCTTACATGGAGCAAATCTATACATGTTTTTAAAAAGAGGATTATGTTACATAAACTCTGTCACAACCTGCTTTCTTTTCCCCCAGGCCACACATTTTTATTTTATAACATGGGATCAATTATTTTTAAATTTAGCAACATATTGTGGACATTCTAATCTGTGCAGATGTCTACTGATTCTTTTCAGGTTGTAACATACAATATTCTGTGATGGGGTGGACCACGGTTTATCGGACCATTCTGATCGAAGAACATAGCTTGTAATGAACAGCATAATATCGTACATCTTTGCTGCTGAAATTTTTATTTCAGTTGAGTAAGTTGATACAGGTGGAATT